CTCGGACCCTAATCATGATGACTGACGGCTCAGATTGGAAGTAACTTTTAAAAAATGTGTATGAATATGGTTTGAAATCCCACTAAGTCTGCTTCATTTAATTGCTTCAACTAGTTTAACCCTTACTGATGAATCAATATGCTAAATGACAGATGTATGACTTTATCTAAACATGCGTGAGGGATTCAGTGGTTCAGGTGTTCACACTGCTGGTTTTGTTCCATTTACGCAACAGAAAAGTTCATTTTACAAGGTGTGTTTTTTTAAAATTCTCATTGTCCTCCTCCTCATTTGCATAAAGGTAGACCTATTGAGACCAACAGTGCAGGACACTTTAAAGTACATCCCGTATACAGTGTGTTGTTTGTGACTGTTAGTGTGACAAACAACAGCAAAGAGGAGCCTTGCTGCGAGATAAAAGCACAATCCGCACACGATCACAGCCGATCCACATAAAAGCTTTGTTCACGTCCGCCCCACCTGGCTCGTCCGCCCTTTGACATCTGCACTGCTTTGATGTTCACAGGGACCACTTGTGAGGTCCAGATTGACGAGTGTCAATCACAGCCGTGTCTCAATGGCGGCAGTTGCCATGACTACGCCGGAGGCTACGGTTGCACCTGCCTATCTGGTTTCCAAGGACACTGGTGCGAAATCGACATCGATGAGTGCCAAGAGCAGCCGTGCCAGAATGGGGCTCTTTGTATGGACGGGGTGAATGAGTGAGTATCCCTGGTCTCTGGAAATAAGCAGCTCTTACATATAAACGCAGACCGAAGGGAAAACTGTGAAACATCCCATGAATGCGATTCATAAATCATAAGTGTCTCGTTGTGTGATTGTGTCAGATACAGCTGCGACTGCTCTCATACAGCCTTCACCGGCCCACACTGCGGGACGCCGCTGCCGCCGTGCTCCTCTGAACCCTGCTTTAACAGTGCCATCTGTAAGGACGACCAGGGTAACTACACCTGTGAGTGCTGGCCTGGTGAGTCAAGCACTGCTGCTTCTTAGTTAATATCACGTATGAGTGACCTGTGGTTTTAAAGGGGACTTTGAAAGATCTGGAGACAACAGGGGTAGATGAGGAGACAAGTGCAACACAAGAATGAGCAAAGAGAGAAAGCAGTAGAACAGTGTTGGATAAATCAAGTGTGTGTACGGTTGTATACTCACTGCAGTATCGGACTGTTCACATTGTGTGTGTCTACAGGTTTCTATGTGGCAATGTGTGACTCAGTCCATAGCACTAAACAGACATTTATAATGAAATATAATTAGCAATTTGTCTGGGACAATCAGACTCTATTAGCTAATATACAGTCGTCCTCAAATGTATTCAGACTCTTCTATTAAAGAAAAGGCAAAATTCACAAAAGTCACTCAAATAACTAGAAACTGAAAAAAGTAATAATAAATAAAAATGTGCAAAATTGTAATTTAGTGAAATAAGACATTACTTTTGAATTGTGGTTGAGAAGAATAATTTAAAAAAAAAAAGTTTATGGGCACATCGTGCTTGTTTGCTTGTTTTCTAGAATTAAAAAAAAATAAAAAATTCTGTTCACAGTTCAAATGCAATGGCAGGATTTTTTATTTATTATAACCTTTGTCAGCTTATTTCAGTGATAGCTGCTTTTTTCCTTCTTTAAAGGGAGGGTATGAATACATCTGAGGACGACTGTATATTGGTATCATATGTGCTGTTGATTTTACACATTATTCATGTCTGACACACCACCTTCCTCCTCCTACCAGGGTTCGAGGGCCGTCACTGTGAGATAGACATCAGCGAGTGCAGCAGCAGTCCTTGCCTGCATGGAGGCAGCTGCATCGAGAGGTCATGGCAGGCTTTGTACGGCAGCGAGCCTCTGCTGCCTGAACACTACGACCAGCGACAGGCTGCAGGTTACGTGTGCAGCTGTCCTCCAGAAACAACAGGTAGTCCTCAAATGAGTCCAACTGAATTATGTGTTTGACAGTTCTTCGGTGACAGAATCTGTTACATTCTACCAGACAGGCACTGATTTACACTGACACACCTACAAAAATCCCCAGTTGTGTTGTGTCTGTGAACAGTGTGTGTAGTTTGATGTTTAATTTGAGAAATGAGTAGTTTCTGATTGAATGTTCGGTACATATTACATGCAGACTAACTTTTTTCTAAGTAAGTTTATTGGTCACCATGTTGGTTACTCAGAAAACTGGCCCCAAGCGCCGAGTACCCACCACAGGTGTACGTGTTGACTTCACAAACTACATTATTAGTTTGTTCAAGTCAGCAAAATACAAGAAAAACTACTGTCAGAGTGGACAAGAGTCAGACGAGGAAAAATGAACAGTGAAAGCAAACTCTTGGCCAAAAAACTGACAGTGCTGGCTGTGGAGTCTGCTTTTGACTTTGTGGTGTTGAGGATGTGACCCTTTAAAAGCGGTTTGTGTCAGGACTTTGATGCCCCCCAGTGGTTAGTATTAAAAAGAAACTGTGAGAACTCATAAGCTGAGCCAATTTTCACCTGAATGTCTCAGTAATTTGAAGAAAAACAGCAGCCTTTCTAATTATTGTAATGCTGTTTTCATCTTATCTCTGTTGTGTAATGGTTGAGTTGGACAATCAATAACGAATCAATAAAACTGTATCTGTATTTAGGTCGTGGATATTTGGTCAGCAGGTAATATTATTGATTCTCTTGGCGCTCTATTTAAATTACTACCGTTTGCATTTATAGAGAGCAAATTATTGGCGCCTCAATATCTGGACGGAGACAGTTTGGAGGGATGTTGCATCAAATTCTACTTTTCTGTTGCAAAACCTGAAAATTCTCCTTACACAACACTTGATCCTGCAGCGGAGGTAAGACTGTGAGCCGCTGCCTGCTCAAAGTTGTGTTCTAAAAATTGACTCTCTGCCAGTCGCAGTGGCACTGATTCAGTAAGGTGGCCAAATAGCATTAGCTTAATCCCCAGGATCTGGCTTTACTGGTCTCCTGACTGGAGCTATTCAGCCCTTCGTGGTTTAGAGGAGTAGACAAGGAGTCGACCTCCAGCAGGATGGCCTGTACGCGCACCAGCTGATATGGAGCACTTAGACAAGTTTGGGGCAACTGTGGGGGAAAACGTGACGGCATGATGTGGAAACCTGCACCATGGATTTGGGGGATTTTGTTGCTTGGAACAGGTAACATCAGAACTTGTTTTTGTATAAGTAGACTGTCTATAGCGGTTACATAATAGGTGTTCAACTCCTCTGTTCTTTTATCCTTCCTTCCCACCAGTTGCTGAAGCAGCAATACGCCTGTTGTTACGTTATTTTTCAGAAGCGATGATTTTTGCAGACAAACAGAGAAAAAATGCTGAGGCCAATAACTAGACCAGTCATTTCAGATCAGGTGACGCTAACTCTACTACGCATGGATCAGGGGAAGGTGGTAGTTATCTCAGAGGTACCAAAGAAAGAGAAAAAAAACACAGGAACCATGATACACAAAAAACAACACGTTGAAGGAAAAAGGAATCTTTGTGCTTATGAGATGAGCAAAACAAGCAATACACAGAGAAATGATGGTTTTAGTGAGCAGAACAATCCAAAACAAACATGTTTTCAAGCTGTTTAATGACACAAGTAACAAGAGTTTATATGTTTGTGGGACTTTATGATATTCTTCTGCTCACAGGTTCCCTCTGCCAGGAGGTGATCGACCACTGTGAGTCCAGTCCGTGCCAGAATGGAGGCAGATGTGAGAGCAGTGCCGGACGCTACGTCTGCCACTGCCTCAGACAGAGTCATGACGGCGTCCTGTACGGAGGTGTGAACTGCGATGTGAAGCTGGTGGGCTGTGAGGGCCATGAATGTCAGAACCAAGGCTCCTGCTCACCGTTCCTGCTGGACGGGACTCACGGATACACCTGTTCCTGCTCACCTGGCTACACTGGACCGCTCTGTAAGACCTCCACCACCTTTTCCTTTGAGCGCAGAGGCTACTTGCTGCTGCAGAGTCCCCTGGTGGATGCCAACTGCAACATCACCCTGAGCTTTAAGACTGTCCTGCCCAGAGCGGTGTTGTTCCAGAGGAACACCAGGGGACTGCTGCTGAGCCTGGAGCTGGATGGGGGGGAGCTACGTCTCACGCTGAGCAGAGTGGCCTCGGCAGGGGCTGAAGCAGAAGTCCTCAGCCAGGTTCTGGAGATTTCGCACAACGTCACAGATGGAGAGTGGCATTCTGTAGAGGCTGTGCTCGGAAACTGGCTGCTCAGCCTTAAACTGCTGGATGATGCTCGGAGCTGTTCAAGCCAGTCGTGCCACAAGGTGGCCCCAGTCCAAGGCACCCTGGCCGGGCTCGTGTCGTCTCCTCAGAGCACTTTTGTTGGAGGAATACCTCAGGACTCAAAAGGCCGCAGCGGGCAGTCTGCCCTTCCTGCATTCATTGGATGCATGCGGGATGTGTTTGTGGACTGGCAGCTCATCGTCCCTGAGGAATGGCTGAGCGACTCCGCTATTAATGTGTCCCCCGGCTGCAGCCACAGGGACCGCTGCCTGGATGTGCCGTGCCAAAACAGAGGACAGTGTGTAAACCTGTGGCAGAGCTACCAGTGCCGGTGCCCAAGGCCTTACGAGGGGCAGGACTGTGAGGAGGGTATGTTTACAACTGTGACACAAGAGACTAGATAGGAACTGAAAGGCCAAACAGCGGCAGCACGGTGAACATGTGGAGTAGGTTTAGTGTTTTACTAAATCTACTGTACAAACAAAACATGTGAGGACGTTTATATGATTCAAACACCAAAAACAGACATAAAACTCACAAGAATCCTCAGGCTTTAAGCGTACCCGTTTAATAAAGATAGGAGCAAAGCGCACTAGGTCCATATCACTACATTTACCAAGTAAGTAATCAAATAACATCCTCACTTGCTGATGTGTAGCAGAGATAATGGTGCAGGCCAATCAAAAGACACGGTAAAGGACGGAGGCAGAGATCCTCTTATCTGACGCACTGGATTAAGGATGAAAGAGATTCTATTTTTGAAATAGTCACAACATGCAAGGAAACATCCCACTGTTCAGCAGATTGTTGATTACTGCGATGAAGACATTAGAAACTGAGTTATAAACATGTTGCAGCTGCAGATTTCACTAATGTTGAAAGCTGAGAATGTCCAGTAGGTTAGTTTTTCCACCGTGGATATCTATAGCCATTTGAGTCTATCAAAGAAGATTACTGGTGCCTGATGGGATGTTTCCACACACATTTACTTACATGAGCACAATTACAAACACCTACATGCACATTAAAGCTTTTATAAGCGTTTATGTAACTTGTCAGATACTCTGTGCCCTTTACGTGTCTGGCCTGTTTAATAAGGTGACCGACCCACAGTGGAAAGTGCTGACAGTGGACACAGAACATACACTTCATGAGGGCTGGTGGCTGTTCTTCTTCTCTTTTGGGACCTCATCATAAACTGCTTAAATGTCTTTTTCCTGCAGTTGGAAAAACATTTTGCAAATACAAAAATCTGTTATAAACTAAATGCTCTTTCAGTCGACAATATTTAGGTTTAGTGGTCAGAACAGATACCAAAAAAAAGACTTATTTTAGACCCTCTGCTGAAGGTACAAACATAATAAATTTGAGCATAATAGATTTGGGAGGTGCTATTAGGTTACATGCACCCCAGCTCACGTCTTTGATTAACCCTTTATAGGACACTCCTTGAAATAACCAAGGTTGTTATTAAAGGATATTTCAAGACATTTTTACTTTTGTGACTTAAAAAAACAACAACTTGCAAATCAGGATGAATAAAGTTACCATATATGGTAATTTGCTCGTCTACGGTTTAAAAAAAGGGGGATTTATAATAAATAAAAGAAAATACATTTATTTAGAAACATTTTACTTTGAGGTAATGATACACAACCAGTAACAAAGTATTTATAAAGTTCATTTAGTCACGTTGTTCTTGGGGAGGTGGTTTTGGCACGAATCTCAAAACAATAAATCAAAGTGGAGTTCAGTGCAAACCAGTAACAAAGCATTTATAAAGAGCCTGGAACATTTGTTTTGTTGAAGGTAGTGATAGTGGCACTAATATAAAAACTAAAGTGCACACGGTTCTTCAACCTAAAGGAGAGGAACAGGGCGGCCATGTTGAAGGAAGTTACCAAATATGGTCACTTGCCCCATAAAGGGTTAAGTCCGGTATTTGTGTTTATTTTAAAGGATGGCAAATGAACTGTGATCTCAAATTATATGGGTCACAGTTAATAATCTCAGAATGCATGTTGCTGAAAAGTTTTGAATTTTTTTTTCTTAATGCCATCGTTGTGTTATTTCATCTTGTACGCCGTCTTGTTGCAGAACATGTGACGGCCCGCTTTGGGAACGAAGACTCTCACAGTTACGCAGCGTTCACTGTCACCGATGATCTGGGTCACACGCTCTCCATCTCCCTCTTCCTGCGCACACGGAGGCAAAGTGGATTCCTCCTGGCGTTTGCCAACAGCAGCAGCCAGTACCTGCACATGTGGCTGGAGGACGGCAGGGTCACGGTGCAGCTCAATAACTTTGAGAGCGTGAAGGTGGAGAGCACGATCGATGATGGAGAAGTCCACTTTGTGAACCTGGAGGTGGCGACGGGTCGTATGACGCTGTACGTAGCGGCAGAGAAACAGGGCGAGGTGGAGGTGAGGGCTGTGGACGTCCGAGCAGGTGATACGGTGCATGTGGGAGGCCTGCTGGAGACGAGGGCGACCGCAGTGTTTGGTGGATATTTCAAAGGCTGCATCCAGGACCTGAGGATCAGCGACAGGAGGCTGCAGTTCTTCGGGCTGGATACCTCGGTGAGATCTTATCCTCTTGAGCTCATGGAAAATGTGACCGCTGGCTGCTCTGGAGACAACACCTGCAGTGTAAGTGACCACCCGGGACACAGACAGTGTTTTCAGCGCTGGCAGAGTAACATGTGCAGGCATAAGCACGACCTGAGCACAAGTTAATTGTGTATCTCTAAACAAGACCTGATGTAGGTCTTGGAAGGTCCTCTTATACTGTAAAGTCACATCTCAGTAATGTTCAGCACATAACAGACTTACAAAGAGAATGATCAGGATTCACAATGCACATACAGTAAAAATCCAAATAACGACAGCAAATACAAAGTGAATTAACATTCTGTCATCTAAATGTATCAAATGGATAAATAAAGAAACTCCCTTTATCGATTTCTCAGAGGAACCCATGTCTAAACGGAGGAATGTGCTTCTCCAAGTGGGACGACTTCTCCTGCACCTGCCCCCCCAACACATCGGGGCGCCGCTGTGAGGAGGTCCGGTGGTGCGAGCTGTCGCCCTGCCCCTCAGACGCAGAGTGCAGGATGCTGAACCAGGGCTACCAGTGTAAGTGACCTCCCAGACTTCAGCAGCTACAAGTAGAGATGTCACTTGAAACGACTCTACGTGAAACCTTCATTATGTTCAGGCTGCAAATCGTGGTTTGACCTGAGCAATGAGGGCGCCGCATTAGAATATTTACCCATTATGTAAACAGTTTATTTTCCCGTAGCTGAGTGTAAGTCTCTGGGGATAAAATTTGCTGCCTTCTTAGCATTTCTTACTTAACGTAAAAGCCCTTAAATCCCTGAACATGGAGTAAAATGTACGTTGCCTAATCTTTGACCTTGTTTGTGGAATTAGTGGTTATTGTCTCGTTTGGCTGCTGTGTAACGCTCTTAATAATATACCGGCCTCAATCTGTCCACACGGTTTTCTGCAGGTGCTCCGTAAAGACGGATTGGCCTGAAGCCAGCTTATTCTTTTTTTTGCTGGGATTAGTGAATATTGGTCATGTCTTATAAGCCGCCCCATTGTCATCGATGAGCTCATTGTGAAACACCCGCCTGCTTCTTAAGGGTCGTCCCAGTAAATGGACTTCAGTGTTATCAAACAGATAGATGCGGTAACACTGCCTGTTGATGGTCAGTCATTGGGAAACTGGTTGTTGTATCCTTATGCCAGCCAAAAATTCTAAAAAAGAACTGACAAAACTATGAGACAAAGTAGATGTGTAAAGAAATACACAGATGTTCTCTCCTGATCTTCTAGGTTACTCCAATGCGACCTTCCTGGACGACAGCACCGTGTTGTCCTACCGGGGAAACGGCCACATATCCCGCAACCTCACCAACCTCTCTCTGGACCTGCGCACACGGAAGCGTAATGCAGCGATCCTACACGCAGAGAAGGATTCGGCTTTCATCACGGTCTCCATCCAGGATGGCTTCCTCTTCATGGAGCTTCAGAGCTCCTCCGCAGGTGGCGGCAAGGTGGAGGAGGAGCAGGAGGGCGTGTCTACGATCAGCCTAAGCAGCAGGAGGAGTGTCAGCGATGGAGAGTGGCACAGTGTCCATTTGTTCATGGCAGCACCGTGGGCACAAACCTCTCGGTGGACTTTGGTTCTGGATGAAGACATAGAGGAAGCCAGCACTTCCAGGAGCCAAGGAGGCAACCTGGACTTCCTCCGACAGGGAGTGGACATCTTCTTAGGGGGCCTGGCTCCTGAAGCCGGCTGGTCTCTGGCTGGTTGTCTGAGCACCGTGGAGCTGGGCGACATTGCCCTGTCTTACTTCGGCTCCTCTGATGTGAACCTCCCACGGCTGCAGGAGGAGCAGTTCATCCAGACGTCCCCGAGTCCAGCTCTCCTCGGCTGCGGCGGGGCCCCGGTGTGTGAGCCCAACCCCTGTCTGAACGGAGGGGAGTGCCGGGACCTCTTCAACGCCTACAACTGCAGCTGCGCCGAGGGTTGGGCCGGGAGGCGCTGCGACTTCTTCCTGGACACCTGCGCTTCGAACCCCTGCGTTCACGGCAACTGCAGCGTCAACGGGCTGACGTACGAGTGCGGCTGTGAGTTCGGATACACCGGTGTGGACTGTGAGGAAGAGGTCGATGTGTGCGACAACCACCTGTGTGCTCACGGAGGCACCTGTCTGCACGGGCCGGACAGGTACGCCTGCCTCTGCCCCGAGAACTACACCGGACCCCTCTGCAAGTAAGAAAACACAGAAAAGCA